AACGGAAAATTTTGCGTAAAAAATAAATACTAGAAATTTCGCAGCCATATGTGAGATGGGTATCAATAATTGGTTTGTTTATTGATGTTACTCTAGTGGTGCTATTATAATTAGCCATACTAAAACGTTCAAATACATTAATTCGAGCGAGTCAGTAAGGTAGGCGGTACCGAGATCCCAGATGGAGGCTGCATATTCCAGCGGTGACTGCAATGCTGTTTTATATAGAAATTATTTTAACGACAAAGGCACCGGAAAAAAAATTGTTTTAGCAGTTGCTAAAACTCTGTTATAACTTAAGGACTACTTAGTTTCTGAAATTTTAATCAATTGCAGTTGCAGAGATTAAGTTACATTCGTCGGTCTTCGTACGCATGCCCCATACTCAAAGAGCTTCCTTGCCCTACCGTGCTGTTGCGACCAGGAAAGCAGTCACTGCACCGACTTCATTCGTGGACTACAACTTACAGAAACAGTGACAATGTCGTGCAACACAATAATTTCTACTTTATGGCTTTTCTTGGGATAGGGAATCCCAAAGCACATGCGGCAGATCATAAGTCCAAGCTACCGCCAACCAAAATGCCAGAGAAGCCGCGAGGAGCTACGAGAGGACTAGAACATTAAGCGTGTCTTTGCCCCTCTGGTGTAGGAGTCTGTGAATATTCAAAAATTTCATCAATATGCAAATAGCGTTTGCTATTCATTTTGACTCACACCGCACCGGAACTGTCCGAAGAATGAGAGTCTTCGGAAAATTCGAGAATTATAATTGATGCCTTTAGAATTCGCGCCTCGCCTTTTTATACTGGCGCCCTCGTGTCGGGCTTTACTGCTTCCCACTGGTGCACGCGTATCAAGCTTCCCTGCTTTGCACCGGCGCGTTTGGAGGAGTGGCTGACGCGGAAGAGCATCTCGGTTGTTTCGATGGCCTCAGAAATAGTGCTCGCTGTCGTAGGTCAGCCATTTTGGTAATGATCATGGTTTAAAGGACAATGCTGTCCAAATAATGTTAACCTGTATTCAAATAAATCGGGTAGCTATTGCTTCGCGTGCCATGTCAAATTATGTGTTGCCCAACTTGCCTTATCAGAGGCTTTACTTCGTTTATTGAATGTGAGTATTTGAAACGCGCAATTAAACTCCCCATGAAAATACAGTCGTCGACTGATTATTTGGACTTCGCAGGGACTGAAAAAAACGTCTAAATAATAGAGCAGTCCGAAAAATCAGCAGATTGAAAAACTTGCCTTTATTACTTCTAAGTGATCTTAAAAACGCTGTAAATAGTGCCTTTTTTCCTAGCGTTATGGTCGAGTATTTTCTGCGTTTCTTAACGACACATCCCGGCGGTAGAACAACAGATGGGGCCATGACGTCCAAACCAGCGCTGTCCGAACGAGATAAGAAGCGCAAATTCACGAGCGCAAAATGGCGACTGGCGACGCGAAGGAACGGAAAAGCAAAGCAAAGTGATAATCATCATGATGATGACGTGCAGCTAAATGTAAAAAATGGTCTAACATAGCGTCACCTAGCGGTAGGACTCAGGAGTACTCAAGTAGCGGTGCCAAACCAAGCCAATCCATTTGCAGCCAACATAGAATTCAAAATGGCCGCTTCTCGGTGGTGTTTTCCGCTGATTGCTTGCGACGATTTTGTCCAAATAATCGAACTTTCGGACTTCCAGCTGTCCGAAACATTGGTTGTGAATAAGCACTATTTCTATGGGGTAAGTCACGGTTCCGCCTTTAGGTCCGAACTATCGAACAAGTCTGAATTATCGGAGTCCGAAAAATCGGTCGGCGACTGTAAACTGTTGCTTTTCATACGTACAGAGCGCGACACTGTTAGCGCAAACAAGCGATCGCCAATTTTTTCAGTTTTTCTCCTTGAAACCAAGGGATGTGATCCAAGTTATTATTGCTACGGAAAGAGCTCATCTCGTTCTATAATGTAAGCGATAAAATTTCGTTCTCGCTAATACTATTTAGAAGTAAAATGTGAAAATGCGCCGATGTCGTGTTCCTGCTAACAGTGTCGCAATCTGTACGTTGTTTCTGAAAAAAAGAGTTCCAACTAGAGCTGTAATGTATTCATGCTTAGTTCACTTTCAATTTAAAATATTTTTATTTGAAAATGTTCTATTTGATTTGCAGTCAGTTCTTTCTGCTCATATTTGATTCATAGTTACAACATTCTGGCGGGCTAGTTGGTTACACATAATTAAATTACAAATAGCGCTAGGACGAGGACAGACGAAGAAGTGGACAGGATAGCGCCTGTCCTGTCCACTTCTTCGTCTGTCCTCGTCCTAGCGCTATTTGTAATTTAATCATAGTTACAAATTTGATTTTCGCACACCTCCACCACAAAATCCAAGATCCAACTCTCTGTAATACACATAGAGGGCAAGCCGGCTAGGCAGACACTGGTCTGTTCACCTTTTTATGTCACATAAGTTTTCCGCATGTAGGACCCTCAAGTCAAAATTAATTAAGGCGAAGATACAATTAATGAGTGACTTCAGATTCAACTCTTTAAAGGGACCATGAAATGACCTTTTTACTTTTGCCAGATAACTTTTACATTAAACCTTCAACGTTCACTGAATGCCGAACAGGCATCTGTTTTCGTCTCGGTTTATTAACTTCTACACAAAAAATTATTGAAATATCAACTTTTTCTTTCTCTCCAACTTACCACAAAACAAGTTGCGGCGTAATTTTGATGGCCGTGACGTACTCTGGCACAGGAACCGGAAGTTCTCTCGGCAGTAGGAGAATGGGTATGTTAGCGGCGGCGAGTTGGGGGTGCGCCGGTAGGTTTTACTGCGCTGATGTCACCTCTGACAGTGCCTCCCGACATAGTGCATGTGCAGAATGCGGTGTCAAGGCTACAGGCCAATCCGAAACAAACAAAAAAATGGCGGCAGTTTGATTTGTGGTGGCGGTATGGTGGCCACTAAAAAGTTTGAAAGATCTAGCAGCAAGGCTTACATTGTCTGGATTTTCAGTCGCCGTTATACTTACTACATTAACTCTGTGGGGTGAGTGATGGTTCCGGAAAATTGTCCGAATAATCGGGCACGTCCAAAACTTTTGTGCCCGAAAAATTGGCCTGGGACTGTATATCATGTGCTGCATTGTAGTGTACACGGCATGTGCCATTGTTTATTGTAGTCAATTTATTGTTTCTGTTAAATTGAGTATCCCTCTCTTTTTACATGCATTTAGTCCTTTTCTAGAGGGCAGCTCTTAGGCGCTCGTTTCCGTATTTGGCAGCGTCGCCGTCGCCACGCGCTTTGCATTATGGGACATTACAGACCTATACACCAATTCAGTTCCCCGCTAGATTTAGCCAAGAAACTGAATATGTGTGTAGGTCTGTGACGTCCCATAATGCAACACTGTGCATTCAGTTTCCCCACTAAATTTAGTGGTAAAACCGACGTCACATGGCCTCAACACCAATTCAGTTTCCCCACTAAATTTAGTGGGGAATTGAATTGGTGTTAAGGTCACGTGATTTTAATTTTCTCGCTCAGTCTAGCAGAGAAACTAAATTTGTTCGTATGTGACTTGACACAAAGTCATGGGACGTCATTTTCCCTCTAAATTTAGCGGGGAAACTGAATTGGTGCTGAAGTCACTTAGTGTCAATTTTTCAGCTAAATTTAGTGGGGAAACTGTGGGAGGGAGGGAGGTTATGAAGGATGAGGAGGACGGGAGAGAAGGGGAGGAAGAGATAATGAGGACCCTCCCTTCCTTCTTCCTTCCTACTCCACTCCTCCTCGTTCATATCCTCCCCTCCTTTTCTATACCATTCCCTTCTCTTTCAATTCCCTCCTTCCTCCTTCCCTGTACCCTCCCTTCCTTCTCCTGTATATCGGTATATCGCAAAATCAAAGTACCTCTAATTTTGCTTTACAGAGATTTGCAAACCTCTTTCAGTTTTTTTTTTTTTCTTTTCATTTGCGCTCTGGCCTAGTTTTGTCTCTGATAATGTGGAGATGAAATTGTTTAATACTTCATTGAAGGTATGAACCTTACTGTTTTGTTAAATGTATGTTCCTCCTTGCCACAGCCCATGGCCCAGCTGTACATTAATTAATTAATTAATTACAACTTTTACCGTTTGTTCAAATTCAAGGAGCTCTACCCAAAAACGTTAATGTTTGAACCCCTTTTCTGATTTAAATGACATTTACGAGGCTTGTTTCTGCTGATGTTGAGAACATTTTTGCCAAATTTTGTTAACCTGGGTGAAGTACAAAAAAAAATTGCAAATGTTCGAAGATGAAAGTGGGCGTGTCTGCTAGGAAAACTGTTGTTTTGAAATTACTTATAAATTTGTTGTTTAATGCATTATATTTCTTTAGGACAGTTCAGAGCAGATAGCTGTGGAGCTACACTAGTTCTTTATTATACCATCTTTCATGACAAAAAAGCCACTTAGACACAAATACTGTTTTCTAGATTTCCATCCTTTCTCCAAAATTTTCGTTCTTGAGCATTAAAAAAGACAAAAATAAAACATACAAGCTCATAGCTTTCTTCCCCATAAAATTTAACTTCAGGAAAACTCATAAAAATGAATCCAAGTTATGCAAGAACAAAACAAAATAGTTTTCTTAAAGCGAAATTTATGCCAAAAAGTGAAATGGAGGAAAATGCATTCGAGGTGCTCCAACCTTTATTTTTTCTTTAGCATAGGTGGACCAGAAATAATTTATAAAAAATTAACTATGCAGTGTAGAATAATAAAACTTTCTGGGAATACTCTCTAGATGTTGGTGCATATGAATACGGCAGTTTTCAAAATTAACCTTTTTGGCAGACGTTTTTTGTGGGTAGTGATACCTAATTCTTTCTTTAGTCTGTTTTTGAGCTCTCTCAGATTTTCCTCAGGTCTTATAACTCGTCTTGCTTTCCCTTTGTCTATTTCGCTTTGTGCTTTTCTATGGGCAGTGTTTAAATGTTTTGACCACTTTGTTGCAGAGCAAGAATGGGATCTTGGAACGGGCATCTGATTACATAGTCTACCTGAAAGATCTGAACGAGAAGCTGGTGATGGAGAAAGCATCAGATATGGAAGGTAGGAACAATCTTTATCTAAATAATAGTTTTAATAGTTGAGACGTGCAGAAACAGAAGCTTAGATCTTGCATAGAAAGAAGCTTAGATCTTGCATTTGAGGCTTATGCACTGCCAGATACCACCCTTCGAGGTCGAGCATCTGACAAACGAACCTTATGACCCTCGGTTTATCTCCGGGGTAGGATCTATTTTGACGACTTTGCCAGCCGCCGATCTTGTAGGCTTGCTTGGCATCCAACTAACTTAAGAGGATTTTTTTTTTTTTTTTTTTTTCATATTTGTGAATGGTAACGAACTGAAGAGGACACACAAAGGGTGCTTTTGAGTCCCTAGTTTTGCAACAGCTTTTAATCTGAGGACCACAACCTAACTTCCACAAAACACATCTGGAAGGAGGCGCAAGCACAAGTACTTTTGGGTTAAAAGAATCAAACTTTTTAATAGACAACTGAAAAGTAAACTTGCTTGGGAGAAGAGCGTGTTGGTTCAAGTCATGGATGAAGAAAGAACAAAACAATTAAAACAGGGACAACGCAACCACATCTTTCAACTAGCAACAGACGAGTAAAATTTTCACAGCGAGCAGCCGACTATAGACCATTCCATCTAGCGCTCTCTGGCCGGCACCATTCTGTTCGACAACAGCGCCCTCTCCATACATCCGGGAAATTCAGCGGGTTCGGCGGGGTAAAACGAGAGAGAGGGCACGCTTCCGACTCCGCTAGCAGACGACAAAACGGGAGGTTGCCATTCTCCATCTTGGGCTGTATCGGCGGGCTGTACGGAACATTGAACTCTCGCTCGTGGCTGCCGTTGTGAAGTGGTTCGCGTTCTAAGAATAGTTATGGCTACTCCAAAATAAGCCTAGAGCTCTCTGTTGTTCTACTTCGGTAAATGATCAACTGACATATCTTTTTTCCGTTACTTAAATAACAGTTGATTCAGCCGGCAGTACTACACTCAACTACTGTGTGCATTGCGGTAGGAGAGCACGTTTTTATTTATTATTTCAGACATCCACTCATGGTCGCTAAAGGCCTACACCAGTACAAACTTTGTATAGTAAAAAAAATACAGCCACCGGATTCCCTTTTCGCCGGAGAGACCGGCCAGTCTGACACAGTTTTCCCTTTTTTTTTTTTTATTTGCACGGAAATAACAGCGCGATTGGACTCTGTTAGTCTTTTTTATCTAGCATAGTAATACACAATAACTGGCATACGAAAATCTGCGTATCTGCGCTTGAAATTCCCAAAATGGCGCGATTTTAAACAGAGTTTGTACGCCAGCCAGATGCTAGGTACTGCCCACTCGGCGGAGCAGACGACATCCGGGCGGGAGGGGGAGGGCATTTTTATCACTTTTTACCCTCTCTGCTATGACCCTAATGGAACAGTCTATACCCAGGAGGGAAAGGGGGCAGAAGGGGAGATCAGTGATGTGATTGCTGCACCGATTGCGCCAAACTGCGCCAAGGGGCTAACCTTGCTACATCCTGCTACATTTTGCCACAATATAGATAACGTGCACGAAACCTGCGCCAAAAGACCAGTCGCCTTTCAAAACCGAAACTAAACTGAGTACCGAAATTGAGCATGCGGGTGTTACGTGGCGCAAGCGGCCGCCCAACACAAAGTACCCTGCATCAATTGTCCATCCAGTCTTGCATGGTTTTCCCGCCGTCTTGCGTTTCACGCTCTTGTCGTCTCGTGGGTCTCGTCTCACATATTTAAAAAAAAAAAATATTTGGGACGATAGATGCGGGTGTGTGCGGACGCTCAGACTCTATCGTGCCGGGTACCAGCCATACCGTCATGCTGTGAAACAAACCAGATTTTTACGCTGCGGGAGTTACTTTGCGAGCTGAAGCACTCGCTCCTGAAAGCAACAAGCGTGGGAAAACTATATCTGGTCCAGTCACCGTGGTCCCGCAACGTCGGGTGTTGCCATCATAGCTGCAGATATGACGCTTTCTAAAATTAAACTAAATAACGCCGTATGTTCATCAACATTCCTGTTCTTGTTTAAATCATACAAATCCCTCTGTAACTCAAATACAGCTTTGTAGAAGTATTGATTGCCTAGGTTTCTCTCGGTGGGCTTTCTTTGGAGGGACCTTGCTACGTGAAAAATCTGCCTCAGAAGAAAGTTGGTGAAGAGAAGTGAGCTAAAGCAAGGAAGGCAATGTTTGCACGCTGAACGCGCACAGCGCGCTTGTTTGTCCCGGGTTCAGTCATTGCTCAAAGCGCTCCAAGAACTTCTTGACCCTGACTCGCTATGTTTTGTATCGATGCGCTCAGGTTCTTTTTTTTTTCTGTGTGTGTGTGTGTGTGTGTGTGCACGCGCATGTGTGTGTGCACGCGCATGCGTATGTGTGCGTGTGTTTGTGTGTGTGTGCGTGCATGTGTGCATGCACATGTGTGTGTGTGCGTGCATGTGTGCATGTGCGTGTGTGTATGCGTGTGTGTGTGTAACTTGTACCTTGTTTGCTGGCCTGTTAAGCGCGCTGATGGACTGTTTTTTTTGTTTTTTTTTCGTATGCTCGGCAGTTATATTTTGCATACAATTTTGGGAAGCAGTTGGCGACGGAGCGGAGTGGCATAGTTTCGGTCGAACAGCTGTCGTCTCCACCTGCGCGACGAAGCACGCGCAACTGCAAGCCTGCCGAAATCGCCCTTACGTGCATGCGAACATAATTGCGCAAAAGAAGCACCAGCGGGGACGCTTTCAATCTATTGTTTAACGTTTGCTTACTTTTGACAAAAATCTGACATGTTGGGAACCAGTAAAACGCTGGCAAGCGGTTTTTCGGAATTCCTCGGCAATGCCTACAGCACTGTACACTTCTGGGATCTCTCAGCAGTAAAAAAGCAGCGAGTTCCGTCACAGCACGTCACACCAAAACACAACACACAACAAAGTGCCCTTCGTTTGTACAGCACATAAAACAAATATTTTTATTAGTCTAACAATATCTGCTCTAAAAGCCACTTTTGCACCTCCGAAACACTGTCTTGGCCGCTCCAAAAAAACACTTTTGCTGCTCCAAAACACTGTTTTGGTTGCTCCAAAGGCCCCATTTGCTGCTCCAAAACACTGTTCTGGCTGCTCCGAATGGTGCTCCAAAATGGCTTTGGCCAATCACATCACTCGGAGATAAAAAAATGCGAAGTGCAAGTCAGAGAGGTGGGTTTATCTCGGATTTTAGAAATTCAACCTCATTTTTTGTCAGCAGGAGGGAAGGGTTTGACACGTTGTTTGCTGTGGTCATGGCGAATGACTATGATCTCCCTGTTGAATCTGCTGTCATGCCCCCCCAGGATTTTTGTTTCATCAAAGAGGGGATGACAAAGCAAACATGGATGGGCATGTCTGACTATTGGATGATAAGAATCTGGAGAGGCCTTAGAAACTTTGTTGTGATGTTCCCGGAGTCTGTGATTGGTGCATCTGCCGGTCTGACCTATGTATTGATGGCCACAGCTGAAGGGGATGGAGTAAACATTCTTCTCTTTGCATGGAATGAATTTCTTTTCGTGTTTAACAGTGCAGCCAATTGGAATCCGTTTGTTGTTCACTTGTTGACAGAGTTGCTTAAGACGCATGCGGCACGGGAAGACAACATTCGTGTCGAACTTTGAGGCAATGGAATTTATCCGGCGGGCTGAATTGTGTGCATAAGTAATGACGGTGAATCGGGGTTTCTTTTTTGTGGCTGGTGACTGGCGATCAGGCCCGCAATCAGCCTTTCCATTACTGATCGAAGAAGGTCGACGGGAAACCCTGCCCTGACGAGCCTCATGTGCTGGAATTTGAAGCTATCTTCTGAAAGATGACAGCAAGACTTCGTGAAGGATGAAGGAAACAATGATTTGATGATACAGTATAGGCCACTTACAACGTAACCGCTTATAGTGCAGGATCGGGCATAACACGGCTTTTTTAAACCACCGGTTCGCCTCACATAGAACTCCATGTATTTCAGTGATGTGATTGCTGCGCCAATTGCGCCAAACTGCGCCAAGGAGCTAACCCTGCTACATCCTGCTACATTTCGCCAAAATATGGGTAATCTGCGCCAAGCCTGCGCCAAAGGACCAATCTAGGTCGCCTATCAAAACCGAAACTAAACTGAGTAGCGTAGTTGAGCAGGCGTGTGTTATGTGGCGCAAGCGGCCGCCTGACACAAAGTACCGTGCATCAACTGTCCACCCGGTCTTGCATGGTTTTCTTGGCGTCTCGCGTTTTGCGCTCTCGTCTTGTGGGTCTCGTCCCTCTCTTTTTTTATATTTTCAGCGATGGACGCGGATATGTGCAGACACTCTAACGCTAGCACGCCGGACACCAGCCATGGCGTCATGCTGTGAAACGAAACCATGTTTTTTCGCGGCAGGAGTTACGCTGTGAGCTGAAGCAACGGCCGTGGGAAAACTATATTTGGTCACTGCCTTTCAGTCACCGTAGTCGCGCCACGTCGATTGTTGCCGTCCCACATCATCGCAGATACATATGGTACTTTCTAAAATGAAAGAACCACCAGTGTGCTTCTTTGATTACTCCTCTCCATCGCTTTTCCTTTACGTTCAGCTGGTATTCAAGTAAGCTTGTCAAAACCAACCGGCTCAGCTCCAGGCCATCACAATCTAAAATGAAACTAAGTACCGTTGCATATTCACCAACGTTCCTGTTCTTGTTTAAATCATGCGTTACCACAAAAATCCATCTTTAATTCAAAGACTGCTCTGTCAAAGTATTGCTTATCTAGATTCCTCATGGTGGTCCTTCTTTCGAGAGGGACCTTGGTACGTGAAAAATCTGCCGTATAAGAAAGTTGGTGAAGAGAGGTGAGCTAAAGCAAAGAGGCAATATCTGCACGGTGAACCCGCACAGCACGCTTGTTTGTCTCGAGTTCAGTCGTTGCACAAAGCGCTCCAAGAACGTTTTGAGGCTGGCTCGCAATTTCTTGCATTGACGCACTCAACTTCTTTATTGTTTGTG